AGTGGATTTGAGACTTTTGGAGGCGAATCTTCAGTTTGATCTCCGCCGGTCTTGAATATGAGTTTAAATAACGTTTCTTCGTGGGCTTGATAGCTTGATCTCGAATCGAACGTCTTGATTTCCCAAGAACGTGAGGAACACGAACCCTTGGTATTCGTCGCAAAGTTGATCTTTGATCTTCTCTACGTCGGATTTGACTTTAATAACGTAATTCGGAGGCTTGGCAGCTTGTTTCCGGATTGAACGTTGGTCTTGAGCTTGAATGCGCTTGAATCTTCCTTCGAATCTTCAAGAACGCCTTTGGATCTTCAAGAACACTTGAATCTCGTAGAGAGAATTCTCTAGAGCTCTTGAACTTGGAACTTGAAATATGAATATGAATTGTAATTTTTCACCTTAGGGAGGGTCCCTATTTATAGGTGTTAGGAGAGGGAGTCTTGGAAAAGAAGACTTCAATTTGATTGGTCCATAATTTCCAATATTTATTTATTAAAGAGATAATTAGAAGATGGACTCTTGGAAAAGAAGACTTCAATTTGATTGGTCCATGAATTTCCAATATTTATTTATCTCTTTAATAATTATTAAAAGAAATAATTATTTATTTTACTCTCCAAGAAAAATACATGTGGCATTCTTTAATTGGCCTTCAAAATATACATGTGGCATTCTTTAATTGGCCAACAATATATATTAAATAATCAATTAATTAACTATTTAATTTAGAAATTAAAATTTGATTAATTTCCCAAACAAAATAGAAAATTGTTAAATTGATTATGACATGGAATTTGACACTTGTCGCCATTTTATTGGCTCAAAATTTAATTGTCTACAGGGTCGACCTGTTAGTACACAAAATAAAGGGGAGTCAGAACAACTTGGTGTAAAGGAATTAAAAACTTACAATATGCGTAATTAACATCAATCGGGATAGACATCCCATTAATCAAAGGTTTAGATAAATCGAGAGTTTGCCAATCTCCGCCAACCCACAACCACTCTTCTTGAAAACCATGAAGAGAATCTGGAATCTGGGTAATTAAATCACCGACTTTCAATCCTCCTTGAGGCTTCCCTGAGCAAGAAAAATAAATCAATGGATCTGCCACTTGTCTGTCGGCGCATCTCTTAAAAGTGAAAAGACTCCTCATCTCTTCAACAGTTGGCATATCCCACTTTTTCTCCTTCAAAAGGACCATGAGTCCACTAATCCTCTTCCAACTATTTGGTGGAATTTGACATAAGCCAAGTCTTCAATCGCGCAAATAATTGGTAATCAGAGCAGGTAAAGGAAACCTTAATCCCGACCTCAGGCTCTCAGCGAAAATGCCGACACACCCAGGTGGAGGACAAGTAATTCTTTCCCCGGGTTAAGGGGAAAATAACCTTACAGTCGAAGGGACCCGAACTTCTTCTTGGAGGAGCACGACGTCGGCATCGGTTAGAATACTCGGTTCACCTCGATTTTCATCAATAGCCTTGGGCCACTAACGTGCAGGACGTCTCCAATACTCCACCAGTGACATAGCATCGTCTTCAACTAATCGGTCACCTTAGATATTATCTCTATTTAAATTTAAAGTCTCAACGAGCAGAGGATCCCACCGATAATACTCGAAGGGCAATTCCAAATCCTCATCGGTAAAAATCCTAACTTTGGAAATCGTACGACTACTACTGGATTCAGCCTTTGAAGCCATTATATTGAAAGGAAAAGATAGTCTTGATCAACGATAACAAAAAATTGAAAGATAGGGCAAAACCTTACCAAATACTCTGATGCCATAAACTTGTAAGGATGCGAAATTAATTGAAGAGATGATTATCAGAAATGTAGTACGAAGAATTTAGAAGTAAGAAGAGGCGGAAGATGACAAGCTCAACGATTAAAGACGTAAAACTCTTCACGATCAAAATCGTCCCAAATTTATACTCAATGAATTATAACCGATGGGTAATCCTGAAACAGCGCTTGTAACGGACGTGTCATTAAGAGACATAATGTTTCGATACATCCTCAATACAGATGGGCCAATTAAACACCAGCACGTGGAAAGGACGTTTCTATCCGTTGTACCCATTAAATACGGTAACGTCTTTTAATAAACCGCCACGTCCGCAGAACCGTTATACTGCCCCAGCCTTCTATACGAAAAAGTTAATATTTATTCAAGTGTTCTCATGTCGGTAATTAAAAGAGACGTCGGTTAACAAAGACATGTCGGAATGGGGACCAAATCAAGTCGGATTTATCAGATGAATTAACGACATCAGCAGCCATTCCTATTCGAATACCAACTAATGTTGGGGGCCTCTCTGTTGACGACCGACTTGATTTTTCAAGATTAAAAGGAAGATTTGTTGATATTATCTTTGAATACTTACTTTGATTCACTTCTTACGACAAACTTATCCGAACTTGGTGCAAATTAGCAACGGCCGACTTCGCATATAAAATAACAACCGACTTATTTAAAGCTACGAACCGACTTCGTGAAAGAGACAAGAAACCGACTTCATAAATGACTGTCTCTGAAGATTATCCATTCAAACCGAGGTCCAAGAAGACTGAATCCCAAAGCAGATGACAAAGCATGCTCCTGATTGGACCACCTAGCCAAAAAGTAATCATTGTTGTCCCCCCATTGCCTTACAGACCGCTTTATTGAAGCAACTCAACATTAAATGCGATCCGATCTACCTCGTACGAAAAGTCAAGCACACTGTACTATAAATAGCAGAATTTATGATTGTAGGGGGATCTTTTTATGCACATTGTACACGGAGGAACAAAATAACTCGGTTGAACACAAAAACCGACTTCCTGTACCGTCAAAAAGACAATAATAATACTATAATTTTAATTGCTTTCACTGTAATCGCATCTTGCTGCTATTTATTATAGTTGTTAAATTCCATACAACAACAGATTCCTTTGAAGAAAAATTGAAGTCGGGGACCACTCGACTCTTCGGCAATAATATGCTGCTGATCTCGGACAAGGAATTCTTGAAAAGTATTTGGTTTGTTCTGACAAAGGGTCCACCGAAACAAGGAATTCGGTTTTAACAGTGCGATGGCTGTAACCAATAGTGTCTCTGGATGACAAGGTTCCATATTCTGAACTCGGTCATTAAACCGAGCTACGTAGTCTTTGACGCTTTCGACAACCATTTGGGTTATATTTGTGATGGACTCCTTAGGGATTAAGCAAACCTGGGCCCCAATGAAGTGTGAGCGAAACGCTGATCTTAGTTGTTGCCACTAACAAACGGAATGGGGAGGTAACGAATGATACCATTTCTGAGCTCGGGGTCCTAAAGTAAGAGAGAAAATTCGACACCGCAAAGCGTCAGTGGCTCCATGAAGGTCCAACCAAGAAGTATAGCGTCCGAGATGCGCGCGCCGCGCTTCGAGTTCGAGTTCAGCAACTCTTCTTCTCAACACCTCCGTTTCCGAGATGCCACGTCTGGCGAATCGATTTTCCTCAATTCGATGTCGTAAGTCGACCGGATTCTCTGGTTGTCAAGGTAATGGTGGAGCAGGGGCGCCAGCCCTCCTGGGATGTCCAGGGTGACTCTCTGCCGTTGCCTCCTACAAATTATCCCCTCCCGGCGGGGCAATAACCCCCACCGGCTGGCCTTGAGGATTATTATCTCGCGGTTGAGATGTTGCGTGCGACGCAGCATGATTGTTGTCGTTTCCTGGCGCCGGAGGAACACCTTGTCTGGCGGGCGGAATCGGGGCTATAAACTGTCCCGGCACCGCCCTAGACGTGTCGGGAATAGCTTGTGCTAACAGGGCGGAGAACCCTTTTGCAAACTCTGAATTCTGGAAGAGTACAACTAAGTCTGGCATCGCGGGAGCCGTATTGACCCGGCCAATGGGTTGATTGGGGTTGATTGTGCTTCCCCTAGTGGTTTGATGATCTCGTCTTGACTGAGACATGTTTCGAGGAGTTAAAATGACGTTCCAACAGCGTTTGCTTTCGTCTGGAAGTCGAAGATTAACCTCAAACAATTATGAGACCGTCCTTCTAGCGTCAAACTGTTGTCGTACGATTTGTTACAATGTAATAAACATAGAATTAAACGATTCAGAACATAAGATTGTGATAATTGAGGATTTGTATTGATAAGTATGACTTGGTTTATATGTAGCCGAATAGAAATTGTAACAGAGTGTCCCCCTTTCCTTAAGGGGAATCTCGACCTATTTATAGTAATTTTTCCTATACACGCATTTCGAGCCCCACTCGTAATTAGTGTGACACATAAAGCATCTTTAAGGGGCGGCTTGTGGCAGTTAGGCCCGCAAACCATCATGACATTTTTCACGGTATGCAAGGGTGTCGCGTAGGCATAGCGTCACCTGCTTTGGTTTTGATGAATTCGGTTTTCGTCCGACATCAATCGTCATGTCGGTGGATAAGGACGGGGAGCTCGGTAATGACCGACGTCACTCGTCACGTCGGTATAAAGAACTGCGACTCCGGTCTCATAAATAAGATAACTTTACACGTGCGACCAAGTCGGAATAATTACCGTTAGGGCTAATTTCGCCATAAACTCTATCTTTTATGTGTCGTAAAACGTCTAAACATGATTTCGCCTGGATAATCTATGCGGTACCAAGTCGGTGGTCAACAATTATTTTCATACTTCTATTTTTTTTTTTAATATATGTCTAGCTAGATTATTCGAGTCAAGTACTTCATGCTTAAACTCGTGTACATTTAATAAACGAGTTGCCATGACTCAACTCGTTTAATAAACAAACAAAAATGTGAGCTCAAGTTCGGATCCTATAAATCTAGTTCGACTCGTTTAATAAACTTTTAAATCTATACCAAAATTCAAAAATTCTAACCGAGTCAATCGCGAACACGTCGAACTCGACTTGTTTGATAAGAAAAACTCAATCGATTGTTTGACTTTAGCTGATTTAAATATACAAGTGAGCCGAGTTCGACCTTTCGTAAGTCGAATCGAACTATGTTACCGGTAGTACTGTTAACGAGTTAAGCTCAAGCTCATTTAAACCGCATTTGGTTAACGAACCCAGCTCGGCTGATAAGGCTCATTAATGCTTGAAAAGAGATTTTTTAAATAATTTTCTATAGTTCAGCTCGTTATTAAAGCTCGATATCGACTCGTTATTAATTATAAACGATCCGAGCTCGAGCTCGAGCTCGATTTCAGGCTCGTTTATTTAACAAGCATAGCTCGCTCGGCTCGTTAAGGGCTCGAGGTTGAGCTCGGCTCGACTCGCTTACAAGCCTAGTTACCGGACATTCGGTTTACACGTTTTGCAACTCAGGGTAAAAAAAAATCCTAGCTACGCTCCTGAAAATGATGAGCATTGTCTCGCAAAATTAAATTTGTAGTATTATGAGGGAGTGGTGTCACACAATCAAATAGGAGATAATTTTGTGTCATTAATTACTAGGGTGAATTTCCATCCTACAACAAGGGCAGAGGGCACTAGCCGCCATCCATGGCACCAAGCACTTGGTGTGGAACCTATGAGCACATGGCAGCTGCATCAACGTCCCCACCCCCAATTGCTCCAAGCAAACCGGACATTCACCTTCTTCACATGATTTCCATCTAACTCTCAACCAACTCGGCCTCTTCATCATTAATCCACTTCTCTTCAAATTTGGCAATTCTAGGCCTGATTCAGCATTTGGCCTATTATCTGAAAATGTGCTTCTGTCTTGGGTGCTGAAAAGTTGAGCGTTCCATTTCACGTAATAAATAATTTATACGTGGCATAAATCACTAAATGTTGAATAATTAAAATAAAATTGCTACACTAACCAAAATTACAATCTGTACAAAAGGAGGCACGTTAATTAATTTACACCAGAGTCTCTAATTAAATACAAATTAAATAAATTTAATAGTATGTATTATACCTCTTTTTATGTGATATCCGTTTTGGTTGAAACCTCTCATCCAACCTCTTCTTGGCTTCTCTTGCAGCTTCACCGAGCCTGCTCTCATCATCACGCATCCTTTCATTCCCCTGCCTTAGTGTCGGATTCCTGATTTTCTGTTAATAAACAAAAGCAATCATAAATCTTAAAAAAAAAAAAAATAACTCCTGATGAAAAATGCAAGAAAATCACAAATATAATATTATGTAGTACACTAATAGAAAATGAATAATAAATACTTGGGTGAATTTACCTGGGAAGAACTAGAATGGAGGTTGTGGCTAGTGGCGTACAGACAGAATGAAGAACGCCGGGATGACGTGGCAGCTGGAGATTGGTGGGCGTCATAACAATCGGTGAGGTTGTTGGTTTTGTGAAATCTCCTCCTTCTGGCTGCTTCAACTCCTGGCAGAGTACCAGCCATTAGTCGATAAAAAACAAAAAAAAAAAATGTAAGGTTTATACTCTTTTGTTTATTCAGCGTTTTTGGGTGCTTTCGAGGTAACTCATCAGGAAGGGAAATGATAAGGATGAGGCAATAAGACTAAAGGTGTGCCTAGTAATTGAGATACTTTTTGTGGATTTGTCTTTTTCGGTAAGTGTAGTATTTATTTGGCATAGTCATCTACCTTTCACGTTTTTATGCTTTCACGAGAGTGAGAGAATAAGTTTGTGGCAGAGGAAAATTCCTCGACATGAGCGTAATTGAATGTTGAAAGAGAGTGATGAAATGGTGGGGACAAATGCTTTTTATTTAAAACGCGCGTAATTGATCGTCCCAATTTTTATTTAAAATGTTTTTTTAAAGGTCCCATTATTAGATGTAGTGTAGACATTATAGATTTCCTTGTTGATAAGATTTTGGTTAGCATTCAATCCTCCTTTGACCGGCCACACATGCCCCAATTTTCTTTTTTTCGGTACAAACATATGCCCCAATTTAGTGCCAATTAAGTATACATTTATGATTTATGGACTTTTTCCTAAAATTTTGGAGACCAACAGCTTCATTTTTTCGGTCATACTTCCAGCAAGAAAACACAGAAAAAGATCCTCAAAACACTCTCAAGTATTCACTTCAATTTCCATCTCAATAGCCCAGCAAACCACCGTGAGTAGCAGCGACCGCCACGAGCAGCCTCGCCGGCGTCCGTTCACCCCGCCGTCGGTTGTCGAATTGTTCAGACTCAGGTCGCCAGATCTGACCGCCGTTTATGCAGCCCTTGCTGGTCGAAGGGAGAGCCGTCGATTTGATTGTGAACAGATAGGACTCGTTTTATTGTTTATATGAAACTATTTCTTTGTTTATATACAGTACATTTTCAGTATATGTGCCCGTCGACATAATCTCAGTGACGCTATGACAATGTGCTTGTGAGCAGATAGAATTTGTTTCATTGTTTATATGTCGATAGTATATGTTGTGTTTATATACAATATATTTTCAATATATGTTCTCATCGACACAATCTCAGTGACGTTTTTTATCGTATATTTTACAGAAATATGGTAGAAATAACGTTGCTCTCGATTTATGTTTGGTATATTTGTTTTAGTATATTTGTTCGGAAGATGATGATGTTTAAAGTTTAAAGTTTAACTATTTTTATTTTTTCTATCAATCCGTTAAACATTAGCTGACAATATTTTGACTAGCACATGTTATGTTTTTCTCTCACTTAAGAACATTATGTTTTTTTCTCTCCTAAGAACGGATGATTGCGTGAACTAAGGTATCAGTTACCTAATAAAAAGTAACTGATACATGAGGTATATCTGCAAATATTTATGTCAGAAATAGTGTATATGCAATATAAAGATGATCAATGATAAATCTGCAATATTTTGACCAAGGATATATCAAAATTCTCCTAGATTTTTTGGGCCTTGTTGAGTTTGGGCTCGAATTCCACACAAATATATTTATAAAAATATGTTTTACGAAAAGGTTTCAAAAGCTAATAGTGGGGGAACATCTCACAAACTTGGAATCCCACTCACATGGCTAAAGAAAGTTTGCAGAAAAAACAAACATATACAGGTTTATCCAGTGGACTGATCACGATTTAGCTCTAATATCCAAA